ACTTTCAGTAAATTTGTTACGAGTCGCCACAGTCGCAATGTTAGTATGGCGTTAACAGCGTTAGAGTTGATATTGGTTGATATATCATAATAGGAGCACAGTATATACAACGTCGATTGTAAATTAAAATTTGTGATCTAATTTTAATTTTTTTATATCGCAGAAGATTAATTCACATATAATATAGAACTATTACAAGAGGTATAGTGTTAAACATATAATTATTTGTTATAGTCAAGCATGTAATGTATAATTGTTTATTTCTAAGAATGTTATTTTCAAAATAGAATATAATTAACTTCTAAATTTATAGTTAATTTAAAAATGTCGTTAATTATTATAACCAAAAAAAAAGTCGATTTAAATTACATTTATTATTATTTCCAGCAGCAATTTGTCAGAAATGTTATCATCAATTGTGAAAGAACATCAGAGCAAGCAAGTGATAAGAAAAGAAAGACAAGGTAAGATACAAATTATTGAACTTTATATCAAAGTTAATTATCACAACTGTTAAAATCTGTAAATGATATAACAGAACAAAAACGAAAAGAAGCTGTTCAGGCTGCAAGCAATTTAACGCAAGCTCTTGTTGATCATTTAAATGTTGGGTAAATATAACATTTGTTTCAAATTTGATTTAACTTCTATATATATAATCATATAAGAATAAGAGATATTGTTATTACAGAGTAGCTCAGGCGTATTTAAATCAGAAAAAACTAGATGCAGAAGCAAAACAATTACAGCATAGTGCAACCAATTTTGCCAAACAAACACAATTATGGTTGAATTTGGTAGAATCTTTTTCAAGTGCATTAAAGGAGATTGGAGATGCAGAAAACTGGGCACGCAGTATAGAAGGAGATATGAGAACAATAGCCACTGCCTTAGAATATTCATATAAAGGTACAAAATTTAATAATTTATAATATTCAATAATATAAAATTTTCTTATAACCAAATCCAGATGAGTAATGTTATTATATTTTATTCTTAGCTACACAAGAGAATCAAAATGTTAGCAATACTTGAAGATATTAAAGTGCAAGATACTTTCTCTGATTATGACAAAATTACAAATGAAATATATTTAAAACTATTTGGTTAGGTATACCATTCCTGGTTTTTTCAATTTTATATCATTATTATCTCACACATTTTTTAAAAATACATATTTATATTTAAAAAATAATCTTTAAACTGCTAATAAAAAATTATTGAATTGTTAGATAATATTTCTGATTTGTTGGAAATAATAATTATTAATTTTTTTATGCACTTTTTTTATGGTGTAAATTATAAGATACTTTATATTGCTTTATGTTCAGCATAATGCTTGGCGATAATAGTAAATATATAAAAGTTATGTACTGTTACATGTATTTATGATTGAGAAATATAGTATTTATGTGAAAATAGTGAATAGTTTTATTATATGTTGTGTTGTCTTATATGGAAAATATTTTTAAATAATATATTCGACACTAGTACAATTGTTTAATTAACAAATACGTGTATACTTACCGTTGGGGCAATATCGACGTTGCATGTGATTGATAAAACCATTTATCAGTCGTAGTAGTAAAGTCGACGATGCTTGATAATTGCTCAAGCACATCTATTACATTAATAATGGGAGTAAGAAAAAAATTACTGTAGACATAGAGTACATGCTGAAACATGTAGAAAAAAGTTTATTTGCCGAAAATGTGGTATTCTTTAATCGGGACTTGGAATTATTTCGATATTTGTTCACTATCTCTCGCAAGCAATTTATTCTACGATGAACTTAATAAAGTCAATATAAACAATGTAATGTTTATTTAATGTTATAATTAATTATAAAAACAAAAATTTTATATTTAAACTACGGTTTGTTACATAAAATTGTACTCAATGCTACTGTCAGAATGTAATGAAGATAAACAAAATTCGTCGAGGAAAAGTAAATATATAGTCGCATGACGTTAAACATATCACCAAGCATTATTCATTCACATTCGCTAGCAATAACAAACAGAGCAATCTTCTACGATCAATTTAGTTTCCAGAGTTCTCAATGTGTCTTTTCTGTATAACACGACAAATGTGTGTGTGTGTGTGTGCGTGTGCGCGCGCGCGTGTGTGTGTGTGTGTGTGTGTGTCACATACACGTCTTGATACAAAAATAATAAAGCTACAAACATGTATAGCTATTCAAAACAATTGTTAAAAAATAAAGTCTTTATGCAATTAAAAACACTGTTTCTATATTATTAGATATATATCTGCATGTAAATATTTTATTTATTTTTCCTAATAAACAGCAATATTGAAAATAGTAAAATTATATATGAGATGATTTTATTCGATATTTTCGCAAACCATTTTTAATTGATCTTTTTTATCACTGTGAAACAAAAATGCCGATTAATAAGGACAATTGAAAATAATAACTAAAACAAAATCTTTAATTCTTTAAGCCTTCTGAATTTGTCTAAACTTGAAACATTCTTAACTTTAACTGAAATAACACTATTGATTAAATATTATCAATAAAAATATAAAATTATTTAATAAACTATAATAAAACTAATAAAAATATAATAAAAAAGTCGTGTTTGCAATTATATCACAGATGTATCGGTTTATAGGAATTCGTGCCGCAAATCGTTTATTTTTTTATTTACTTCGTGCTGAATACGGAGCGAAAAAAAAGTAGCTGTCCTTCGTTTATCACACCCTCGCATAATTACGGACGTTTATCACAACGTTTGATCGGCTGTGCGGGGACTAAGGGAGTGATCGAAGTTACAGTGTTTACACAAAGGTTTTCTTTTCACAAGTAGGTCTCCTTATAGCGACGATGACAAAGGTTTCTTCAGTTCTACGCGCGATTTTCATCGAAGAATACGTATAACACTGAGATAACAAAATTATTTTAATTATTCGTCATATCGGAAACATCGTATCGGATAAATTGAGAAGTACTTTTACGAATACATTATTTGCGTTTTTGTATCATGTAAAGTGACACTTTTTATTTTAATTACATTAAATTGAATATTAGTGTGTATTATAATTTCACATATTGTCATGTAAAATTAAAGACGCGAAAGAAATTTTGATTGTGTTTTTCGAACATAAAGAAGTACATATTAACACTAATAAAAATGGCACGTAAATTATGTTTACCAATGTAATCAACAGTAGATACAGATCGCAGCTGATCGTGATTATAGATGTAAATCGCGACACATCATTGACACGAAAGACCTAATATTACTTGTCAGATCGATCGAAGAATACTGCGAACAACGACTGTGTTTTTGTCTGTATGCGTAAATACAAGACATTGTTGTTGCCACCGTTGCGTGGCGAGTTACACAGTAAGCTGGGGGAATTGTAAATTATAAATAAAACTTAATGAATACGCGGTGATCCTATTAGTGGAAAGGTAAATACAAATATTCTTTTTAAATGAATAATAAATATAAATAAAATGATGGAAAATCTCATTTTACTTCTATTTATTTCTGTTGCTTTACATTTTGAAATGTAAATGTGTGTATGTATGTACATTCTACAAGGGGTAGTTCAGAAAATGGTGTATCAATACACGGAAAAATTAATTATTCGATAAATTAATAATTTTTACCTTTAAACACTGATAAGGCGCAAATACGCTTTCGCGCATAAATATACAATGTAATATTGTTTGCGTGTGTATTAAACCGACAATAACAACTTTCGCTTTTATTATTCTCGTTTAACGCTGGCCTAATAATACGTTCTACATAGGAAACAGCATGATTGCGGGAACATCGTGCTTATCAATTGGATCGCACGCGATAAAAAGATCACCCGGATTTATTTTCTTCCTTGTCCTCGATGAGACAAGTCCTCGAACGAGACCAAACTGAGATCAAAGCTCTTTTTACAGATCCTGACTGAAAACGTGCCTCTGCACGCGCGCATTTTCTCAGAAAGCTCGTCGTACATTCAGGTGCGCATGCCATACACGAGTGTGTATTTTCGAAGGATAATCATCGGCCAAGAGCGTTCGATCGTCGACAACAATTATTCACCGACAATCTGACGAATACGAATGGACGAGTACGCGAGTGCATAAAACAAATGCATCCACACTGTGACCGGCCGCTTCCTGTTGGCGATTCTCTCCAATGTACAACGCGAATTCCGTAAATCTCAACGGTGAGTTTTGACAAAAATAGCTAACTGATGAAAATAGCTTTTCCGAAAAGTCTTAAACTTTGTGCAAAGAAACGAGGACATTTTGGGATTTTTTTGTGACCTTTCTTCTCGCAACGCATCTCTGTCTCGTCGAACACAAATAAAATCTGCTTGATTGCGATATATAGTATATCCCGTTTTGACTCTAAAGTGTTGTAGATGCAGCAACATCTTAATATAATTATTATGTGATCGTAGGAATCCATCCAATGCAGCTCGCGAGTTATTTTGCGACCGCGCCTGTGAATATCATTGACGATATGTCTGAAAAAATGCATGTGCAATGGAATGATTTCGATAAGCAACAAACAACAAACAAAATGGCGAATAGTAAGATGATAGACAATATATAAATTGCCATTTTCTTTATAATTTATATTGTTCTAAATTTGAAGTAACTTTTTTAATATAAGGAACAAATAAATTATATTCATCTTTCCGAAAAATAAAATAATCCTTATAAAAATATTGATAAACGTTAGACAATTAGAGATCGGTACACAAGATGAAGCTTAATGGCATGATTTGCAGAATTTTAACAATTGCGCTACATAAAGAAATCCCCAGTATAATTTATTCGAGGCCACAAGGCCTACACTCGTGTAAAAGACGATTAAAATCGATAGTGGAATAACGCAACGTAATTCTAGTGTCTGTAGACAAGCCCTCAAAGCCCGTGGACGAATATGACGTAAATTCCGATGGCGCGAGTAACAAGTCGGTAAACAGCGATCTATACCAAGCGGTGTTCCCGATCTATCACCTCAGCAAACTGTCCGGCGTATTTCCGACGAGATTTGTCGCACAGGCATCTGGCAGATATCAAGGCCGATTGAGCATCATCGACAGCGTTTACAGGTGACGATGAGTGGTCGATTCAAGTTTTCCGTGCAGATATAGATCAATCTCAGATCAATATTTTAGAAATGTATATGTTACCTGTTATATCCCAAGTAACTTTATATCCCAAACGAAACTAAGGGGGTTCTGTTAGGAAAGCACCGAGTTGTCACGTTAAATAGGCCTAGCATCATCTATACAGAAACGTAGGAATCTGAAAGTTGAGAAAGTTCAAGCTTAGAAATCTCAATTATTCATAAGCATATTTGGAAATAATATTAGGCGTAAGAGTAATTGAAAAAAAAAAGAATGAAAAAAGTTCCTACAAATTGATGAGAAATAATGCGTTGCAGTATATTCCTACTAACATGTCTGATCAGCGCCGAGATCTACGGCTTCTGGCGCGACTTGAGAGACGGATGGGAGCACAGCACTCGACTCAAGTCGCAGAACGCGGTGATCGTCACCAGCAGCGACGTGTTGGGCGTGATGAGTCTCACCACCGTCGCCATCATCGGCTCGATCTTGCGCTGGAAGCAAGTGCAAAGCGTTATTGATAAACTAGTCGACGTAAGTCTCACTTAACTGACCGTTTATCGTTGCCATAAATTATCGAGATTATCCGCATACGCGGATTCATCATTCGGTTCGTCTCTGCGTCAAGTGCGACGAGAAAATAGGGATCATCTCGCCGAAGAAGGTCCGACGGTACACGATCCTTCTGACACTCTGCACCGTCTCCTATGCCATCATCCTCTCGTGCCTCGACGTTTACACGTGGAACCACGAGGTGAAGCTAAACAAGAAGCTAAACGACAAGGGTCCGATCAACTACCTTCCCCTGTACTTCATGTACATAGTCATCATGATGATGGAGGTTCAGTATGCCGTTGCCACGTATAACATTGGCCAAAGGTTTTCCAGACTGAACAAGTGCCTCGAGAACATCCTCAGGAGCGGCAGGATCACGGATCAATTCAGGAAGGATCTTGGATTGGGTGCGTGTGTCCCTTCAATAAATCATCACAATCATCGTTCTGCAATCATAATCAATTTAGACATCTTTTTGAATATCTTCGAAGTTATTGAGCACACTCTTAAAATGATACGAACTGTTCTCTTAGCCGGCGACCTTCGAGATCAAGGACAAGTTCCTATGTACATTCGGCAGGATTTGGGAAATACTCGAATGTTTAGGAAATCGAAGATCATGGATTCGTCTGGCACAAATGGTACAATTGTCTATCGTATACCTAGAAATAGTTTTATTTTCAATTTTTTATTTCCTCGACTTTTGTTACGCTTGCAATGAGTATAATCGATAAAATATTGTAACAAAAAAAACACAAATTGTGTATAGCACAAATTGTTGAAATAAAAAATTTTTGTCAATTAAATGATAATGATGAACCTTTTGTTCAGATGGCAAAGGTTTCACGGACAGTATAGCCCAACTGGTGACAGTTCACGCATCACTGTGTGACACGGTGACACTTATAAACACCGCTTACGGCGTCATTATACTCGTAATCACAATCACCTGTCTGATACATTTGATCATCACGCCGTACTTTTTAATAATGGAGGCCGATGGAAGACGAGAACCGTTATTCCTCGCAGTGCAAGGATTGTGGTGCGTCTTCCACATTTGGAGATTACTCATGATTGTACAGCCCACGTACACGACTACGATACAGGTGAGAAAATCTAATAAAAATAAGTGAATAAATCAACAATTTACTGTCGAGATAAAAATGAAACATTGAAAGAAATTTCAAGAACTTGAAATTTAAAAATCAATCCTCTTTCCTGAAAATCAAATAGTTTAAGCACTTTATGTTTGAAAGAAAGCAAAGATTCCAAAATGCCTCACCTATTCTATCGCAACTCCACCGTTTTATAGTTGCTTATCGTGCGATTTGTGCAACTGTCCTCAGGGAAAGAAAACAGCGGTCCTAGTCAGTCAATTGCTGTCCGCGAATCACGACAAGGAAGGCAGGAAACAGCTAGAGATCTTTTCGCTTCAGCTTCTACACCGCCCGTTAGAATTCTCAGCGTGCGGACTTTTCACTCTGGATCGAACTCTTGTGACTTCAGTAAAGAATTTTGTTTCAATGTGCCTGCGTGCCAATTTCGTGATAAATAAACACAAACAAAAAAAAAATAATATAAAATTGATAATTTTTAGATTGCTGGCGCCGTCACGACGTACCTCGTGATACTCATTCAGTTCCAAAAGGAAGACGACACGAAAGGCAATTACGATAGCATCTTGAAGAACGCCACGCAGATACTGAAAAACGCATCGACGCTTCACAATCTCACGGCAGGAAAATTAGGCCTGATTTAGGACAAATTGTGCTTTTTTCATCCATCTTTTTTTTATGTTCTCGAGTCTATAATAAAGCTTTTTAAAAGTTAGTACATGTCGCCCATTTATTTGTAAAATATTCACGATCAAAAGATTCACGTCGAGATGCGAGTCAAATCCGGTCAAAGATGCAGATTTCACTATAAAATCAGAAAATCGAAACGCGCGCGCGCGCGCTAAAATCAATAGAGCACACAGATACATGACACGCAAATGATGTAAATCAATTCCTTAAACTAAGCACGAGATTTACAAGAGGCTAAATACAATAATGAGCGCCATTTGTTTGCGTTTACAGATAGATTTAATAACAGAAGGGATCGATGTGTGTGTGTAAGGTAAAATATGGATGTGAGAAGTCGATCGATAGCAAACGCGTGCGATGCGATAATGACATTTAATGAATCCCAATTCTCGTACATCGGCAATGATATAAGAAATACGATTTCGTTCGTCTCGCTCGACCCGACAACTAAATCAATCAACGAACGATCGGTTTTTATCGTGATCAATTGACAATTAATTAGCACTTTGCTTCCATAGTGTAGTCGTCTACAAAGTTAGACGTCGATCACAGCCTATCCGAAACATGCCACTCGTCACCCACCCGTCGTGCTGAGCGCGGAGATACCTAGAAACGGGTAAATCTCAGAGGATCTCCCTCTACCTCTCGGAAAAAAATACCAGGAATCTTAGCTCGAGTTATTTCCTAAGGTATATACAACGTATACTGACTCTCTGCCGTATTTTCTTGGTACCCGCTACATACTTGTTCGTACAAATTATTAATCTAGCAATAAATATATTAAATCGCTCAGGAGAACCTAAACACGTTACTCCAGATGCCACATGTATCCGTTAGAAATCATATATAAATCCAGCGACGGCGACGAGCTTGCGGCCGCGCAGAATTAGGTGATGCTGAACGGCGATTGATTGATCCGAAGCAGTTCCACGCCGGAAAGCTGCTTTCCTTTCAGCTTTCCTCGGGCATTCCTTTCCCCCGCTTCCGGCTCTTCTCCTCAATTCGCCGTGGCCGCTGCGACGGACGGTTGTGTTTTCTGATGCGTCGCTTGCAGTAGCTTGTCACAGCAGATATCTTTCGTCGTGGTCGGCGGCAGTTTCTTCGCTCTTTGACACGTTACCGATTGCGGCGGCGGCGGCAACGGCGGCAGCGGTGGCGCCGTCTCGACGGAGGGGTCCACCTCGTTCTCCACTTTGGTGCTCTGATGGCGGGCGTTACACTGGCACGAGCTCGTGTGATGGTGGTGCAGCCGCGCGTAGCAATCGCTGCATACCCTCACAGGATTGTAGAGCTGCTCGCTAGGCAAGGGGGTGGAGTTCTCGGAACAATCGGCACAGAAAATCTTGCCGCAGCATCTACGTACAACGTGACATGTTTAAGATTCTCTTCCCGATTATCTACAGTGCACTCTCCTACCGTAGTTAGTAGCAAATTTAGCGTTTCATCGCGCGAAATGCATACCTGCAGTGATGCTTACGTCTACCGAGCCAAAACTCCGTGTTACATCCCATGCAACGAGTCACGGCGTGATCGGGAACCCAAAGGGTGGGCGCAGGACCCAGCTCCTCCACGGCTTCCCAGGACATGTCCGACGGTAGTGATTCTCCGTGTTCACCAGCGCTTCCCACCGAGTCCGGCAAAGAGCCCTGTGCGAGTCACCGCGTGAGTTTCATGTTACATTCTCTGTATAAATGCGTGTAAGAACTATGTCACCGGTCGAGAGACTCTACTCACGATATCGTCGATACGATCGGTCTCTGCGTTGTGATTGCAAACTTGCTTTATTAGTGCCAGTCTTGTCGTGTGTAATTCCTTCCTCAGAGCCTCCTCCTTGAGCTAAAAAGATAATTAAAACAATCGTTGACTTCGGAGAGCGGGGCATTGTTCTGTCTCGAGCGTATCACCGGACTATATGCTTTCGGGAAACATCAGGAACGTGATTAAAAAACACTAATAATCTGCTGCTTTAAGTACCTTATGCTCTACGATAATTTGTTGTACTCGCATTTGGACGTCACAACATATGACAGGAAGACCGTCAACATCGTCCAGCCAGTCAGGATTATCTAGCATAACGTCCTGATGGGTTGGAGAAGCTGGACATATGCTACTGGGAGTTCTTGATATCAATGGGGCGCTAGTATCACTCACGTCACTACCCTCGTTGTGATTGCGATTGCACGATGAGCAAACAATCCGTCCGGTGGTAGTGCCGGTTTCGATCCACGGAGACACGATATCTCGCGACGAATTTGTCTGTGGTCTGCGAATTTTGCAAATAAATTACGCATTCGTCTACATTTCGCAGATATCAAGATAAAAAAAAAAACCAAGCACTCACGCTTCCTTCTCCCCATTCACTGCTGTAACGACAGAGTCATTGTTGGGTATCAAGGTATCAGTGGAACTATCTACCGAAGGATTAGCGGGTGAATCGCTGGACACTTGATTTGTGGTACATTGTTTTATCTTGCTTTCAGTCTCTGATAAATTTTCGTTTGCATCTTGACTCTTTTTACTGTCCACATTTTTCACGCTCTTTTGATCAGCATTAGTCTCAAGCGCCAAAGAATCGAATTTTCTGCGGTGGACATGAAATTGACGAATGTACAAGCTTATCGTACGCAGTGTATTATGTAACGTTGATTACGTACTTTTCCATAGAAATACTTGGATCGCTACGTCTTCGGTGCAGATAAGCCGCGTGATCGGGCGCGTGCATAAGATCGCCGTACGACCTTGTTTTCGTCATCTGTCCCTGCGGTTCCTCGCTCTCGCCACCCTCGATGTCTATCATCGCCACCCTCTGCTTGTCGTCTCTCATACCGAGAGACGATTCCATCGAACCCAAATACACTTCGGACCACAGAACAAGATCGCGCACGTTGCAACTCGGCCACAACACCTAAAGTAGCAGAAGAAAAATTATAGAAATCATAATCACTTTGCATGTGCAATTATATTAATCACACGCCGATATACTTGATTGACGTACCTGATTCTTTAACGGCGAATACAGATGATTCACAAACGCAGTTGAGTTGAGGAAACGCCAAACGGAGAATGTACGTTCCCGTATCCTTAATTGTAGCCTCTCCTGCCTAGTATTACATAAGAATGTGCCAAATAATTGCGAGTACGTATGTTGGGCCAGTTTCACCTGAAACGCAATTGCTCGAGTTCGAATCTTCAAGAGTGTATTAATATGACATCATAAGAATATTATGTATATTTACAAGATACGCAGACGACATTTGAAAACTACATCGAAATTGCAGAATCAACTGATGCACGCAGTCGAGCCACTGAAGAAATACTGGACAACGTTCATTGGGATCGTCACAACCGATCGTTTGTCCGCATCGATCCGCAAACTTGTGTCCAAAGTCTAACCACTCTCTCTCAACCAAAACTTGAAACCCCTGCAACGCGGAATGGAATGGCAGAATAATAAAATACCCCGGTTCACTTTACTGCCCTTAAAAAATTAACAAGCATACCTCCATAGTACGATAATATGGATCGAGTAATATCTGTGCTAACGCGACGATTTGCGGCGTTCTGTCCCAGCCGTCGCTACAATGCACTAATACTGGTCGACCGTCCCTCTCAATCGCGGACGCTACGGTGACTGCCGCTCGTAATAAGCCCGACATATGCTGCAACCATCGCGTTCCCTCCAGCAAACTTAACCAACTGTAAAACAAAATTGGAAAAATAAAAATTAGTCAGAAGTTTAAATGTATCGAGAGAATAAGTGAGTTTCCACCAGCGCTATCGAGACACCGTTTGACAATCCAACAACTTACTTTGGTTGATCCGCATCCGATGCGCAAAGTTGTCTCACAGCGTGAAAGCTCTTTCGTATCGAGTGAATATTCGGCAAATTCATAAATTGTATGTCACAGCTTGGATAATACTCGGGGCACTCGCAACCGCCGCCGCGTGCCCGATTCGCTACGGCCGTGGTGTATGATCTGGCGTCGACGATTAAAACCTTCTGTAAATAGAAAAATTACTTATGCAAAAGATACGCTAGATATTGAATTTCTTAGATAAATAATCAATTTGATGAACTGAACATAACTCTTGACCGGAAGTTCTCACCTTGGCAGCGCTCGGTGTAATATCGTCACCAGCGTCGGAGTATGTAATAGGCGAGTCTACCATCGTAGATTCGCCTTTATCATAGCTACACGCATCCGCGAGAGCTTTTAGAAGATCCTCGTCCTCGGAACTTCTCCAACCGAGCCAACCGACTTCCGGTTGGCTACTACGAGCTATCACGGCGCCATTATTCACATGCCTTAAGATACATAAATATTATATCGATAAATGTCATTTCATTATGAATGATATCACATATATTATAAAAGGAAGAGACAAATACCTCCACACAATGGCTGGAATTCGTCTGGAACTTCGAAATTTGGCAACAAATTCGAGGGTTTCGTCAGAAATGCAAGCGGGAACTAAAAGCTGTGGTGGGTAGGATGGGCACATCCGATAATCCTTATTTATTTGACTGATGCGCCATGTGCCATGTAAATTAAACTTTAATCGCTCAATCTAGAAATATCACGAGAATAACACTTGTACCGAAAAATTTCTGCACTCACTCCACTGTAAAATTAAAAAAATATATACTCACTTCTGAATTAAAAGTAGTAATATAAGAACTATTATCTTTTCCGAGCCTAGGATAATCTTTGCCCTCCTCTATGGACCATGCATAGTACGCGAATGCAAATATATCCTCTATACTCTTCCGTGGATAGGTCACTTTGTGTAATCGTTTGAACCATTCCAAACAGTGTTCGTTTGTGGTAAATGCACAACTAAAATATAAACGTTGACAGTGTTTTTTTTTTATTAAAGTTGCTACACAAATCTATAACACCGCACATAATAAATAAGTGCGATTTCATAAGCGCAAGAATATTAGATTCTAGCGCAAACAATGATACTGAACTAGACGTACCTTAAAGAACGCGCGTCCTTACATCCAATGTGCA